TTTTACCATGTTGGCCAGGCTGGTCTCAAACTCTTGAGCTCAAGTGATCCGCCCACCTCAGCCTCCCAAAGTGCTGGGATTACACGGTGAGCCACCGTGCCAGGCCCAAATTACTTCTGGATACTTTTGCTGACATAATATCAATCAAGCCGCCCATCCTGACCCCAGGCCTTTTTGTAAGCACTGCAGTGAGAAAATCAGCTGACCCTTCAACCACAGGGATCTGTTCCAATGAGCAGCAGGAAGTTTCCAGCTTTACCCCAGTAAACAAGTGAATGGGAAACCTCAGGTGTTAAAATCTGACCTTTCTATCCGATGACAAACTCATTTCCAGTCTGTGAACTCCTGGACAAAGCAAAGCAGCCACTGAAAAACTCGAAAATAGGGAGACGGCATCAACCTTGTAAAAGTCGGTTTTGCAAAAAGGCGTTCAGTCAAACTATGTGGGTTTTTTTTTCTTATTTAATTATTCAAATTTAGTTATTTTGTTATTCAAATTTAATTCAGAAAACAGCTCAGTTGGTTTCGGGGGAATGGGGTGGGAGGGGTCCGGGCACATCCATTTATGATAATTTTAAATGTGTGATCATTACGTTGTATGTCTCAGTACTATATACCAGGTGAATCTCTGTAATATTGACTAAACAGTTAAAGACATTTTGTAAATTTCAGGTCCATCTCATCAATGCATGAAATATTAGAAAACCAAATTCCAAAGAACCAGGAATTTCCATTTCCACCCAAAGTCTACTTTATTATCTTCTAGCAGTTCTCTGTTAAAATAAAAACAGCAAAATCTCAGCTACTTATATAATTTTCTCCTTTTATTTGAAAGTTACACTTAGAGATTAAGAATACGTACAGAGAAGCCTTTCCGCCCTACTCTGTTTATAACTCTGTCCAACTTGCCCACAAACACTGCCCTCCTTAAACCCATCTGATGGGGCAAAGCCACTGTTTTCTTAGGCCCATAACTCAGTGCAGCTGTTTTATTGTTATAATGCCGGTGCACCGTGTGTGTGTGTGTGTGTGTGTGTGTTGTCTACGATGTGCTTATTTAATAATTGCCAAACTATTTAGACTAGAGTAACTTCCGGTGGGTCCATTGGATTGTGACTTTATGGTTTTTCGATTTTTCGATTGCTCTCTGTTAAATATTTTCATAACTCCCCCCACAGAATACATGTGTATAGACTGCAACTTAAAAACTCAAAGCAGTACTTGAATGAGTTGTTTTAATGTTGTACTTTTATCTGTTTGTTTTATGGGTTCTCCTGCTGCCTAATGACCTTTCTGTTTTTATAACTGCCGGAAAGCCGCGAAGCGTCTCGCACGGGGAGCTAGGTCCCCGCTGCGGCTCCGCACTGGAGTTTATTAGAAACTCTGGGGTTCTGAGTAAGTTTTGTTTGAATACAGCAACATGATTGTCTCTTTCTATTCTCATTCTAAAAGACAAGACTCTGGCATCTTTTAGTTGTACCCTCATATCCGCCTCTCTAATAAATGTTATATTTTTTCTCAGTATTGTGTATTTTAAGTGACTTTTCATGTTTCCAAGAAAATTATTCTGTGTAATGTGAATATTTAACTCTTTCATCTCCAGTAATAGGGAATTTTCTAGCCCAATGCTTTTTTAAAAATTCTGCCTCCCGCCCCCACCTCCTCCTTTTTAAATGATGGCACCTCCCGTGTCTGCTCCTGCGTGCATTCAGGGCCTGAGAAGTCTGTTTCTTTTGTTTCTTTTCTCTCTCCTTGAGATGACGAGCTTTTCACGGTTTATTGCTGAATGAATACAGAATGACAGGTTTTCCTTTTCACCAAAGATTTGACATTGTGCTGCCGAAGACCCAAGAGTTTCCTTCTGAGAGAATCGGGCCTTCATGTTCCTTGTACCATTCTAGGAAACGGATGCATTTCTTTTCTCTTCTTTTTGGAGTCGAGGTCTCCCTCTGTCGCCCACGCTGAAGTGCAGTGGTGCGATCCTGGCTCACTGCAGCCCCGACCTCCCTGAGCTCAAGCCATCCTTCCAACTCACCTTCCCGAATAGCCGGGACTACAGGCACGTGCCAACGTGCCGGTTAATTAAAAAACTTTTTTTTGTAGAGATGAGGTCTGGTTATGTTGTGGCCCAGGCTGGTCTCGAACTCCTGAGCTCATGTGATCCTCCCTCTTCAGCCTCTCAAAGTGCTGGGATTGTAGGTGTGAGCCACTGCACCGGCCTCCATTTTTTTTTGTTTGGTTGGTTGGTTGGTTGGTTTTTTTTTTGAGACGGAGTCTTGCTCTGTCATCCAGGCTGGAGTACAGTGGCCCAATCTTGGCTCACTGCAACCTCTGTCTCCCGGGTTCAAGCAATTCTCCTGCCTCAGCCTCCCGAGTAGCTGGGATTACAGGTGCCCGCCACCACGCCCGGCTAATTTTTGTATTTTTAGTAGAGACGGGGTTTCACCATGTTAGCCAGTATGGCCTTGAACTCCTGACCTCGTGATCTGCCTGCCTCAGCCTCCCAAAGTGCTGGGATTACAGGCGTGAGCCACCACGCCCGGCCCTGGCCTCCGTTTCTTACTTTCTCTCTAAACTTGTGAGAAAGATGAGCTGGGGCGGATGGCCTCATCAGTCTCCTGTTTGGGCTTCTCTTAACCCTGAAGAAAAGACCAGCTAAAGGCTAGAGAGAAAACCGTGAAAGTTCCTCATCTCAGACCTGCCCTGTGGTAACCAATTGCTCTGAGATGCCCCCTCCCACCCCTTCCCTCCCCTCCCACTACCCTCCCCTCCCAGGGCGGTGCAGTTTGTAGCCAAGAGCAAAATGCCCGCCTGGAACCCGCGCCATCCTCTCTAACAGCGAGTTTCTCTTTCTGTTTCTCTTTGTGTTGTAGATTCCTAGAGGGGAGTGCCTGCGAGCCTCAGGTGAACCTTCCTGGAGAAGCCTCCGTCTGCTTGTCCCCACAGGCCTCCAGTGCCCTGCCCTGTGGACGGCCCATCCCTCCGCAGCCCCATCCCTGCGGGGCGGTCTCTCTCTCTCTACAGCATGTTCCCTGCGGCCCTGCCCTCCTGCCCAGCCCGGGCCACCTCGTGGGGGACAAGCCTCGCCAGCGCCCACCCCCACGGCTCGGGTCAGTCCTCATCGCTCCCCCAACCCACCCCGCGCAGGCCACTGAGACGGTGGGACACACACCCCCGCCTGCTCCTTCCTGGGCCCTCAGTCCA